GGGGAAAGTTACATGCCCAAATATTTCAAAGAAAAATGGAGCACAAATTCTGTGTTCTACACAGTTATTATATGAATAGGGAAAAAAAAAAACAACCCAAAACACTGAAAAAGGGGCATGGAGAAAACTTTATTTTTTTCTGTGTGTGGGGAATGGAGAAGTCTTGAGTCCTTACAAGCACAAGCTTGCCTTTCTTTTGCTAAATGCAGAGAAAATCTAAGGTAGAAATGGCTTCTTTAAAGTGTTAAGATTTTGTGACCTCTTTGACTCCCATGGGTGGATTTCTTGTTAGACAAAATATATAGATTTAAAATAAAAACTTATGACCTGCTAGCATATGGATCACTTAGCACTTTTAAAAGACTTAAGTTTGATACATTTTAGAGGAAACTGTTTCCGTAATAAACATTCCTGTGTTTTGAAAGCTATAATACACCATTTTTTCTTCCATCTCTACATAGGTACAATAGGTAGAGTACTCTGAGAAACAGTTCTGCCTGGAAACACTAACCTAAGTTAACTTCAGAAGAAAGCAGAGTAGTGACCCACTATATATAGGCTTCCATTAGCCAGCTTGACTAACAATGTTGGCTGTGTTCCAGATAAGCACTTTCACTCTCCTGGACCCACGCGGAGCACTGCAATTGCATGTAAGCAGGGAGTAAAGGGAGGAGCAGAAAATGGGAGTAATGTGGGGGAGTGGGGGGGAAAGCAGGGATTTTAGACAGCACATCAGTACTTCATTTTTAATGGAAACCAAGTTGCTTACTCTCATTTGTGCATTATTATTTTCCCCTCCTTTATTCTTGTTTTAAGTCAACTAGCTGAAAAGTCCAGCTGCTCTGAGCACAGATTAAACCTCAATGGTGTCTCATTAAAATGTATGCCACCAATCAGATTTGACTTACATATAAGAAAAATAAAAGTCACTCTCTGCTGAGCTGAAGCACTGTATACAGAGCAATGTTCCTTCAGGGCATGCAGCTGACTAAAGATATTGGGGCCTCAGGCACCAAAAAGTCTGAGCCGCTTAAAAGAGAAAACACTAGTAAGCAAACTCTCTTACTTCATTTCTACCTCCTTGTTCCTTCCCCTTTGGCAGTTTCACTGGGAGGGCTGGCACTTCAAAGGAGTCATCTTCTCTTGCACTTGTCTTTCTGCGGCTGACAGAACTGGACTGGTGGCTATAGCAGAGATCAGACAAAAGAAGATCTTCTACTTCTCAGAAGTAGAAACTTTGGGAAGGTTTCTTCAGAGAAACCCAGATTCTGCAGAATAGCAGATAATCTTGCTCCATAAAGATATCTAGGGCTCAGAAACTGAAACAACTACAGAAGTGACCAGCAGGGAAGAACCTGCTAGAGGTCTGGGTGACAGGTCATTAAAGCTCAAAGAACTCTTGCCTATCAGCCATACAGAAAACATTTGTTAAGACCTATCTGCAATGAATAGCATGAGTAAAACCTTTCAAAAGAAAGTAAAAGACAATGGCAAGCACAAAGGACAACCAAACCTAGAGGAGGAGGCTGACAGTTGATATTGTCCTAGAAACCAGTCTGCCAAAGAGAAGAGAAACAGACTGTGTGTTACAACAGCTTTGTGTGGATGTGGTAGAAGGAAATGGAAGGAAAGACAAACCTTGAACAAAAGAAAGACTGCTCAGAGGCAGTTCCCTTACTACAGCCCTTTCTGTGCTGCATCTCATGTCTCTGCCCCTTCTCTTCCTTCCTGTAACCTTGTAGCATTAACTTAAGCACTATTTTACTCACTTCAACATAAACATATTTAAACATTATTTACTTAAAATATAATTTTGGATGACTGGGCAGAGAATACACAGTCATTTCACTTGCTTCTGTGTGCAAGTCAAAACACTATAAATTCCTGCCCAGTGTATATTCTCATTTCCTCTCTGTCCCAACTCCTGAGGCCACCTGGGGGTATCTGAATTAACTACAGTTAAAGCTGAATAACTTCTGAGCGGGGAAGCCAACCTCAGTAGAAATGTCCTGCCTGTCCAGCTTGCTTCTATAGCCAAGAGGTTTACTGAGACCAGAAAGCTGTAGCATTGCAGCATCAGCAGCAGTTTCATACTAAGCCAAAACTGTAGTGTTCAGTAAATGCCATTCTCTTACTGAATTGCTTCCAGACAGCACTGAGGGATTTTGTCCCTTTCCACAGCATGTTGAATAACACTGCCCTAAGTATTCAACAAAGGCTAGCAACACTTAATATATATTTCATGCATTCTCCCCACTGGATTCAGGGCACAAAAAAAGGCCCAACCTTCTGCATTCTTGCTCAGAAGTTTAATGCAACATGTAAGTTTAGTACTGAATAGCCTTCTAGTATTAGCACTAGTCAACAAGTTATATAGGTTGTTAGAATTATCCAGTATTCAGAGAATAAAATATGGCAGCTTTTAGAAATAAACTAGACTCTTAAAAGAAATCAAACTGTGTTATATGAATATTAATCAGCTAAATGTTTTAAAACCATATTTAAAATTAATGCAGGTAAATATAATTCCAGTTGAGCTTACGCTCTTCTCTCAACCTGGAGCTCTTTCTAGTACTCTATTCTAGTTCATTCTCCACGTGCAGCTTCTGACCTTGTATTTCTCTTTTTACCCATTAAAAGCTCCACTGTTTTAATAGTGCTGTGGGTAGCTAGGCTGAAATACAGCTGCATTTAACTTCAACTTGGTGCTAAAGTTCTGTGTTCTATAAAGAGAAACAAATGGTTGTCAAGAGATCCTACCCTCCTTTTATCTTCTGTACGAAGTCATATTTTAGTCTCTTTCCAGCTTAATAAAATAGTAATTACAGCTAAGAAATAGAAACATTTTCTTAAGAGTTCAGGTTCTTCACTAACTAGTTTTGAAAAAAAAAACCCCAAAACCCCAGAAAATAATTAAAAAAAATCACAAGAGCATGCAATCTCAGTTCTTTAATACGGAAAAAAAAAAAAGTATGGAAGTATTTCGCCTAACTCCTCCCTGATTAACACCACCAGTGTCTGAGCCATGATGAGGTTTTTGTGTGCCAGGATGAGTTGGCAGGCACAGAGTAGCTTGCAGGTGCACATGTACAGTAGATCAATTAATGCACAGTCTTCGAAGAAGTGAACACGTCACTAACCTTGGGGGTGTTCATCTATAAAAGGACTTACTAGAGATGTGTAAATAGTTCCTCTTTCTAACCTTCATGATCAATTTTTCATTTACAAAAGCTTAGCTGCTTCACGCAAGCTGGCAATTGCACTCAGAAACATAAGTTCTCCCAGACAGCACATTATCATTTTTATTTCTCTTACATGCAAGCTCTCCCCAAATGTCCATTCAGTTCTATTTTCTACTTACAATGAAATGAGTGATTTCAAGCCTTTGAATGCATCAGGCGCAATGTCAGATATTTGATTCTTGCTGATATCTCTGTAAAGAGAAGGGACAATTACAAAATATTTGTAAAGAGGAATTTGAGGAAAACATTTTAGCTGTAGTTTATTGGAAGAATATCCTTGGTACAAAAACAGAACTAAAAGATCATATTACCTCAGAGAAATTATGAACTACATAAGAACACAGACAGGCAAATTCCAGGAATGATCAGAAAATATCAGTCAGTATGACAGACCATAGCCTCAATAAACCAGCAGCTCCCCTGTTAATAAGGTCTGTGATTTTGTGAACATTGAAACGAAGAGTTTTATGAAGAGCTTTGAAGAACAACAGTAAGGTAACCCATAAAAACTGTTGATAAAACCATCTTAAGAACTATTAATAATGGAGATCACATTGTGACCCTGCAGGATGGCCCTAAAGCATGAGGAGCAGCCTGTGACAAAGCATAAAGATTGTCTGAATATATAAATGCAGGCATGGAAGGGTAACTTTATAACAAAGATCATATTTTGATTGTAAGTGAAATGATAGATATGGTGAGGAGAGGTTCTAAGGCAGCTGGAAAGTGCTGGCAGGACACTCATTAAGGTAGACAGTGGGATTAACACTGTCAGCATGTTGTAGCCATTGGGGGACCGGTTTCTGAGGCAGCAAGACTGTGCTAGTCTAAGAGAAGAAACCTGGTGGAAAATGAGATGTAAAGATGAACACATTTATAAAATGTAGTACAGTCGAACAAAATTCCCATGAAACCCCTAGGAAATTCCACTAAGGGTTAGTCTCAATTTATGTGAAAAAATAACAATAATTCTTAGGATGATAAAATTCTTCTGCGTTTTCCCACATCACTTCTGTTTAATACGAATGGGAAAGGGGATGGGAAACAGACTATCCAGCCCCCAGTCCCTCCACCAGTGTCACTAAGGAGTTCAGCACTGTACCAGTGTTTGGTTTTTAAAGGCCCAGAGAAAACAAGCAGTACATCACTTTACCATGACCTTGATCTGGTGAGGCAGGAGAGAAGAGGTTAACACAGCACTGGCAGGTCTGCCTAGAGTTTTCAGACACTATGGAAAGCCTTGAGGCATCGAAATGGAAATCACGGCCCTTTGAAGCTAGCAGCACTGCGGGGAAGAGTGAGTGCATTGCAGACCCTGTCAGGGAGCCCCAGCGAGATTCCACCATTTCAGCTATGATGCGAGTGGAATTTGGTTACAGCCTGCTGTCATTTTCAAGGGAAAGTGTGTTCCCAGTTTGGAAAATACCATAACCAACCAAGTATACAAAGATAAATACAGACTACACTTCTTTACACATGGAGCCAAATTTACTACACTTGGGACCCAGATGCTCAGAAATGGGTGCCTTACCATGATTGTCACTGCAATCCAATCTTTCTCTCAATCAGTTCAACCAGGTGCTTAGCTACAGGCACAACTTTCAGCCACCTTGTTGCATTCACTGACAGTTGGTATCAGCAGTATCAAATCTTTTCACTGATAGCTGAAGCTGGAGTAATACAGTACTTCATGTACAACTTCACTGTTATTTCCTCTGGGGCACATGCTAAGGATCCCAGTCAGACTCTAAATAAACATCTCTTGAACAGGAACTTAGGAATTAGAAAGGTTTTCCATTCCATACATGTTTTGAGCCACAGAATCTGGTGGTTAAAAATATTAATAAAGCCCTCTAACTGTTTTGAAATCTAGCCACATAAAGTGGGATTTTCTTTGATTCTTTTACAAGGTTCATGAAGCAATGGCTCTGCAATTTACTGATGTTTTCTATTACAACATCCTGCCTACAAGGATAGCATTCAGTGAAGGTTTCTGGTTCTTCAGTTGAACTCACAGCAGACAAATTTGTGACAGTGAAAGTAGGAATATTTATTTTTAGACAGGTTTTTGTGAAAACTTGTTTAGACTGCCTGATAGCATTTGCTGATTTTATTTAGTAATTCTTAGGTAAGCAGAAGTCTGATGTGAATCTGTGCTATCTATTTATTGAGAAACATATTAAAACCTACTACAATGACATGATATCATGAGTTTGCTGAATAATGACAAGCATCTGAAAAGGGGCATCTAGTTTTGAAACAAGTTCCTCAGTACTATTTTTTTTATTTGCTACATTTCAACATTTCCATCATTTCTCTCTCCCCATGTCCGGATGCTAGTGAGCATATGACTAATGGTGCCTGAACGTGCATAAATGCCATGCTGGGTGATGCTACTCACTCTCTTCATGCAGATGCACTACAATCAGCATTAGAAGATAATTAGACACATTATTTCCTTTCCATTACAGCCCAAGCTCCACTGCTGTTGGATAAGGAGGCTCCATCTCCTTTTGACATGACAGAAGGCAAAGGGATTCAATTATGTCCTTGTACTTCTGTTCCCTTCCTTTGGTCTGCTTTGGTAAAATCTTCCTATTCTGTGCTCATCAGGACAACAAGACAAAGAGATATGGGTTTTTATAACCTGCACAACTGAGTTGATTTACATGACATGAGGCTCATTTTCATAGTTTAGGGGACCTCTGAATCACTCAGTGGAAATGTAACTCTCTAGCTGGAAACATAACAAACTTACCAGGATTCCACCCAGGCAGGGAATACATGAATCACCTCATACTAGTCTCCCTGCATCTCTGATAGTACGGTAGAGATCTTCCTTCAAAAGGTTGTTTAATACACCTTGGAGGGTGGCTGTGCTTAGCTACATAAATTGGTTTTGACTTTGCACCAGGGGAGCAAGGATACCCTGTGAGTTATTGTATAACATATGACTGTATGGCTTAAATGTCTTTACTGTAAAAGGTTTTGAAACAAACCAGATTTATTTTTAGATGCAGCCAAATGCAAAACTATTAATAGCACTGGATGAATATTCTCTTTGTCGATTAACATTATTAGAAACAGATTACTTGATTTTTTCTAACATGTAAGATGGACTGTTCTCATTTGACAAGAGTATTCAGCAAAAATCCATGTCATATATGGTTTAGTTTTTAGAAGCTGCTTAACAAAAGTAGCAATGCTACAGAGCTACTGAGAAGACTGTGAAATGTCAATGTGCTTTCTGCTAATATACAATAAAATTAACTTAACATGAAATGTTACTACAAGCATCAGAGCTAGAGGTACAATGATATCTTTCAAAGAGGTTCTATGTACTTGGCTCTTAGTCTTGTGCTACAGACTTGTTAGTTAAAAGCCTTAGAAAAGCAAAGACAAAACGGGAGGTAATGCCTTAAACTTTGGAACTCATAGGCTACAAGTTACAGAACTATGGTACAAGCACAACTACTCTGTAAATGAATGCAAAATGGCATGTCTTGTCTCGGATACTTCATGCAAAAATGACAAAAACTTCTAATTCTGGAGATGGGATGTATCTCCTTCAAACCTATCAAACCTCTTCTAGAGCCCTTGAATAATTGAGCACAGAGCTAGGACCCGTTAGGTTCACCCCAAAATCAGGGGAACCATCATTCCAGATTATATGATTCAACTGCATACTTGAATCCTATACGTGCCAAATTTTCCTTCTGAGACAGATATAGAATCATAGAATCATAGAATCA